TTTAAACAAAGACGTCACACGATGACCATCTTCCTTAACAATGAGCGGGCTTATGATACCGCCTGGCGCCATGGCATTCTAAACAAAGAAAAGTGTGGACTCCGACGTCACATGACACTCTTCATTGAAAACTTTTTACGTCGTCGATTTTTCCGCGTCCAAGTGGGTGGCATGCTATCTGACCGCCGCGAACAGGAGAACGGTATTCCCCAGGGGAGCGTCCTTAGCGTAGCCCTGTTTGCGCTGATGATCGATGATATCGCTGACTGTCTGCCACCCACCATTAATCGGCCCTTGTTTGTGGACGACTGTGTCATCTGGTGTACAGCATCCACGACGACGCCTGCAGAGAGGCAGCTTTAGTTACGCCTCATTCGACTAACTGAGTGGAGCCTAAAGAGTGGTTTCAAATTTTCGACCATCAAGACTAAGTGCATCCACTTCTGCTCACGGAGTAGAGGCTGTAGAGACCCGGAGTTGCGACTCTATAATGCCGCTATTCCAGTATGCAATGAAATCTGTTTCCTGGGCGTCACGTTTGACCGTCGGCTCACGTTTAAGCAATACTTCAAGAAGGTCAAGATGAAGTGTCTAAAGCGCATGAACCTCATGAAGGTAATGTGTCGTATGACCTTTGGAGCCGATAGATGCACCCTGTTAAACTTGTATAGAGCTTTAATTCGATCGGTCATCGATTACGCTAGCCCTATCTACGACAGTGCTCCTACATCTTAGAAGCAGGTTTTGAACACAATCCACCATACATGTGCTCGTATAGCCACTGGGGCGTTTCGTACGACCTGAACAAGAAACTTGCTGGTGTAAGCAAACGAACCGCCTTTGGCTCTTAGGAGACAACGACTTACTTTGAATTACGCTACAAAGGTATCACAATTTCCGTATCACCCAACCTTTCAGCTCATTTTTTTCTGAGACGTTAATCCGTTCTTTCATGAGGGGCGGCCCATGTCAGCGCGACCGATGTGTCTGCGCGTCCGGGACTGACTGGATGAGGCAGATATTGCGCTGGATGACATTGCTCCGAACGCTCTTCGGGACACAACTCCGTGGAGATGTCTGAGTCTGAAGTATGATTTGGAACTTTGTCAGCATCATAAAAATGACACTTCACCACGAGAGTTGCTCAGCTATTCGTTGGAACGGATCTCACAATACGTTAACTCATAACAAATATTTACTTATGGATCCAAGGGCCCGACAGGAACGGGTTGCGCATTTGTTTGCGGTGATCACGCGGTAGGTCTCTGCCTTCTGCATCACATCTCAGCTTTTTCCTAAAAACTGCTTGCTATTTTAGCAGCGCTTCAGTACGTTGCCTATCGCCCTGAAAGGGATGTAGTCATTCTGACCGACTCACTTAGTGAGCTTGATCACTAGGCCAGACGACGATGTCGCGTGACCAATCACTTCTGACGTGCTCAATTTGGGAGGAACTGGAATGGCTGGACAACACTTCCTGCCGTATCACATTTAGATGGATCCCCAGCCACATAGGGATAAAGGGAAATGAGAAAGCAGATCCAGTGTGAGAGAAAACCAATGTCAAGTTATGTGCCCGCCCGAGATCTGAAGTCGGCCATTTCCAAATACGTCCGCGGTACGTGGCAGGACAAACTCAACCAACATCTTCACGCTTTCAGGGAAATCAAGCCCCAACTGGTTGATCGGGAATTTTCCCATTGCGGAAGTCGTCTCCAGGAAGCCGCCCTTTGTAGGCTTCGGTTGGGTCATATATACGCAACACACTCGTTTTACTTGACGCGTGAGGATGTGCCACGGTGTGACAGATGCGGGGACCGGTCATCTCTAGAAAATGTCCTCTTCTCATGCCGGCGCCTTGAGACCGAAAGACGACGATTTTTTCCTCCAGTGCCCTTCATCGGCTAATCGGCCGAGACCCATGTTAGGAACTTGGAAATATACCCGCATTTTTAACACATACTGACTTTGACATTTTTTTTTTCACCCACCCCTCAGTGTAGGCGTGCCAGTGATACCGCCTGTTATTAGTTGACAACACACTTATCGCGACGTCGCAGATGTAAATAACCGTCATCAAAGGGGCGCAAAATGACCCCGACGCCGACGCGCCCTTCAACACTAAATCACCACCACCAAATTCACTAACGACGGCTGGTGTGGGTCGCGTCTCATCGAGCGTCATATGATTTGGATATTTTTCTTATACTAAAGGGGACATGACAATTCGTACCTATTTTTGAAGGACTTTCTTTGTTCTTTTCCTTTTAGCGCAGATTGAACAGTTCGTGCCTGTTTCGAAAGGCAGTGGTGAAAGAGTAGGACTGCGCTGCGCCGCGTGGAAGGGACTATTCTCGTATGCACGAAAAAGACGTCAGCTCTCCAATTTACACGTTTTGCTTGAGTTCATTGTTTGCAGCCACTTTCAGAATTTGCACGCAGATTTAGGTCACATTTAGGTAAGTACAAATTTAGGACGCTCCAAGCGTGCAACAGAAAGTGGCCCAATGTACGTCACTTCAAGTATGATTTATGTTATCCCATCAATGTCGTTGACTTTATACATATATATAAAGATAAGTAAATAGCATGAAGGTATACATACAAACATACACACACATATAAATATATATATATAGATAAAATGAATATGATATATATATATATATATATATATATATATATATATATATATATATATATATATATATATGTACACATTCTAAGCTTTCCCCACCGATTCACACAATAATTCCGTGCATCGCAAACGTAATAACACAATCTTCACTCGAAAAATGCCGACCCCAGAACTAGGTGAACGCCAACGTTGTGTACATGAATTGACGACGCGTGACTGTGTCTGCCCGGGATAAAAACGGCCCTGTCGCATTATGGAGTGCATTTTTCGTTATCAAGACATGCTTGGGATTTGCAGCACATACACTGTTCATCTGATTTTGTTTCCTTATTTAATGATGATCACAAATTTCAGCAGTTGGACACCGTTGCATGGTTAAAAATACGTATAGAGCATTGAACGAATGTTGACACACACACGGCATATGCGCCAACTTACCTCGATTGTGATGGTGACTGAAAATATGCTATTACTCGTGCAACGCGGCGTTTGCATCACGTTACCACCACGCAGCGCCACTGTCAATACGAAACAAGGGGTCGCGGCTTACATGTCAAGAGGGCAGCAGTCGATATATTCAGTGGTATAACAGCTTTTACGCACATCGGTGTTCAATTCGCTACGATTTCGAAAGGATTTATTTTAGAACTCAGGCGTCTGCCATGGCCAATTACAACAAGGTATCATCGCCTGTTCTTGCTTACCTTTATGTTTCAGACCATGATAAGTTTCAAAAACATTGACTCAGACCTACCACATGCAACAATCATTCCGTATTGCACAATAACACGCACAGTTGGTTGCATTGATTACCTAATCCATCAGTCAGTAAATACCACTGTTGATGGACCGCCACCGCGCGCCACTGTTTGCAGCAGCCAATGAGGATGGACACATCGCCAGCTTTGTACAGGCGGTTCGCACGACGCGCTCAGCACTGACTGCGCTTCCTACGTACTCCACTTCCGCAAATGATACCACCAGAGGACGGATAAAAATATTCAGGTAATAATGCCCTCACGCCAGGAGTTTAGCTTCCCATTCATTTTTTGGGGGGGATTTAGGGTTGGGGGTTGGGGATTGGGGGTTGAGGGATTTCGTACTTCAGCTTTGAGAAAAAAAGTCGGTGAAATATGAGGAGAAAGCCGGTTTCATGCACTTTGAGGGTAGGTTTCACCACTTTCCTGCTCAACGTGCGGATGCGTATTGGTTGACACTGTATGGAGCCAACGTGAATGCCATCTGCACGTCGGCGGCACCTTTGATAGATGCGCATGAGAACGGACAACCTAAATTATGCGTCATTCAGTGTTGAATGGTGTTGAGAAAGGCACGCACGGAAAACCTGCCGAGAAACGGCTTGCAAGAACAGAGTGCTGACATTTCAGCGGACGTCATGGACAGTCGGTCAGGACAGGACAGAACACAGGGACAGGACAGGACAGAACACAGGGGCAGGACAGTCATGGACGAAGTCTGCGTGGCCACTGCCACACCACAGGCCCTACCGATTTGACCCGTGATGGCAGTCCATTCCACATATGACATGATGCAGGTGGAACATAACTGGCAACATTGCGACACCAACGCGGACGGCATCGTGAACTCACCATTAGTCAGCTTCGTCCATCAATTACACTCACTGAGATAGTTTCACGCCATTGCAAATAATTCAGGTGAACCTCAGTGGTACGCCTGAGAACTGACTGAACCACTCTGCACTCATCATTCTATTCATCTCCACGCGCCCATTCCATTGGCGTGCTTAGGCGACTCGAAGTGGGAACGTCCACTGCCAAAGGAGTGTTTACAATCAAGAGGAACGGTTTTGGTAAACAAAGAACTGTTGACATTGTGTATTGTATCATTCACAGAAGTCAATAGCTCGGGATTCAAAAAGCCTATGCGATCATATTTATACAAGGGCGCATTTGCCTACTATCGAGCCGGCAGATCTTACCACGATCGAACTCGTCCGACTGCAGTGTACCGAAACCCTGCGACCGTCGGCATGCTGTCGGTTTGTATCGGCAGTGTACCGAAACTCTGCGACCGTCGGCATGCCATCGGTTTGCACTGGAAGTGTACCGAAACTCTGCGACCGCCAGCTCGCCGTCGGTTTGTACTGAAAGTGTAGCGAAACTCTGCGACCGTCGGCATGCCGTCGGTTTGTAATGGTAGTGTACCGAAACTCAGCTACCGTCAGCATGCCGTCGGTTTGTACTGGAAGTCTTCGCTAGACGTGCTGCTTATCCCACGTCCACCACCTGCCTTCCTTCGCATGACCCACCTCATAACTTGCTGCATCGCATACCAAGCTCGTGTAGCGCCCACGCCCCCCCCCCCTCCCCCCACTTCCCTGAATACATCCGGTTGTGACAGACAGTGCGTTGAGAAGGCCTTGAGTTTTTCATGCGACGGAATTACATTAGCGGCAATATCACCCAACAGATGACTACGACGGAGCAGCAAAGAGCGTGGCAACCAAGGCCGTATAATACAAGTGGCAACACAAGTAGCAACACAAGTTTGCATTGTTTCCAATTGGCGTGACTCATTTTTCAAACTTCACTGCGCGTGCCCAGATGCTTGCAGCTCCCCCTACCATGACATGCCGGTCGTTGGTATACATACAAAGCCAATACAGTTTTCATTCCAAGATGTTGTGTACGAGTTATTTTTTTCAGGGCAGATCATGATACAGGGGAAATGGTGTTCAGGGCTACTGTGTTAAGTATTATAACACGCCAAAATACCCTGCGCGTAATCGCTAATACATTGCAGAAGAATGTATCCTTTTTACTGCCATACCATCTTGTCATATTAAAGAGAACTAAAATGATTTTTCAGCAGCAAAACTGTCTTCATTGATTTACTTCTAGTCAGCATAAACGTAACTATACAACATAGATCACTCTCAACATTCGGAGCGCATTGCAATGCTTTTGTGAAGTCGCGAAGGTCACTGCGACACGGCCACACCACGCACGCACGCAGAACGGAACCGCGCCAGTCTCAGCACGACACCCAGCGTCGTCTACGCCCCACAGGTCTGGGCGGATCGAGATGGCACAACGCTGAGCTCCGTCAGGCCAGCTCAGAGCAAGTGTGGCTCAAACACTACACGCGTGTCCTAGCTGCAGATTGTGCTCAGATGGTCCTCCACTTCGTCCGAAGACAGCGCAGAGCGCCCACCACTGCAACGTTTTCGGCAAGCTTTAAACGTACTTCGGCGACTAACCTGGAGATCGAATTCATTTCGGAGATGCATGAAACCGAGCAGAGCGTCCTACCAAACCATACGCAGATAATGCCTCAGTAATATTAATTTACCCGCAAGTTATGACTTCCATAATGCGTCTCGGCCAAGTGCTCAGGGAGATGAGTTATTCAAATACCGTCATCACGTATTTACGCACTGCCTGATGGTACCCCTCTATACATGAGTTGCCGCGTTTAGGTTTGGAGGCGGTAAGAAAAATCGTGCAATATCAATGACGGCTCGGCGTAACCCCTGTACAATTTTCCGACGCTTGCATCGCACGCACCCGAATGTGAAATACAACTTTCAGTCACATACACCAGAAACGACTAAAAACACGCATTAACCATGAACCCCCCGGCCGTCGAGGCATCACAGTTAGCATATCATGCAGCAGCCGCAGTCGCCGCGGCAAAGGCTCGACTCAAAGAACATGAAGTCCACGAGGAAGGCGGCACCGAGCAGCGTCGCCTTCATGTTGACGTCCAGGTCGTCAGGGAAGACGATGCCGTAGCGGTCCGAGTCGGTGAAGAGCTCCTTGGTCAGACCCGACCACACCTTGGTGATGAAGCCGACCTCCTCGTCGCCGTCGGCGGAGAGCACGTCAAAGTCGGTGCCGCAGCAGGACATCCAGCGGAAGGCGGGGCCGCGCAGCTTCAGGGCCGTTGTGCCGTCAGGCAGGCAGACGCTGAAGCTGGGCCTGAACACGGACCAGTCCTGGCGCACAGTGCCCAGAACCTGGCCGCCGGCCGACACCTCCAGCTCCTGCAGGTAGCACGGGTAACAGCAGCCTTGGCAGCGCAACGGCCGCCGCATCTGCAAGATCTCCCGCTTCGCGCTATCCTGCAATGGAGGGAGTGGTCAGGGACGGTCCCTCAGCGCCGTCCCTTGGACGCGAACGAGCTCCCTCTTCGTGCTATCCCACAATGGAGGGCGTGGTCAGGGTCGACCCCCTGACGCCGCCCCCCGGACGAGGACGAGCTCTGCGGACTACCACGTGTAAACCCGGCTGGTGTGACAGAAAGTAACATTTTAACGTAAAGCAGTCTGAGCACATTTTTTCGCCACGCTTTAGCCTAGGGTAAGTTTCCGAAGCTGAGACATTTCTAAAACAACTGGAACTATGCAGATTCGCGAGGCACCAATTGCAAGAATGGCAGAGACGTTGTGCACGGCGGCTTCTCCCCCTTGACCCCCCATGGCCAACAAAATCGTCCCTCAATACGGGACCCACGGTAGTCCTTGTTGAAACATTTTGCGCTTCGGAACCGCCAAAAGGGACTGACTGGCTGACGTGACTGGCCCGCAGTCCGACCGGCGCAGCTGGGCTCGTTTTTCTCATTTTTTTCTCATTTTGCTCTTTCTCATTTTGCTCTTTTTCTCATTTCTCATTTTCTCATTTTGCTCATTCGACTCGCTGCGCGAGGGGCCCGCGCTCACCAGGATGCGCAGGTTGAACGCCCGCATGTAGCTGCAGCAGTTGCGCATACAAGCACCACTCTCCTCCACGGCGAAGTAGACGTGCTGGCCGGCGGCGTTCTTCACCGTGTACTTGTTGGCCGTCTCGAAGCCGACGAACGTCTCAGCTAGCTCGACCTTCTGCGAGAGGATGAGCTTGTCCGCGGTGCTGAGGTACTCCAGGCCGGGCAGGGAAACGGGATTTGCAGCCGACTCGGGCTGCTCAGTCACCGCCGCCATGACGACTGGCAGGCGCTGGTCAGGTCAGGTCAGGTCAGGTCAGGTCAGGCCAGGTCAGGTCACCAACGGCTGCCGGCAGATAAGTCGGGCGTCAGTACACGTGACATCGGACAGTGACTGGGAGGTGAAGGTCAGCTCTGCGATGTGCATGTCACCACCATGTGCGCGAATTATGTCCAGACGCGATCGCGAACGCATTCTGGAAAGCTGGAGACAACCGAGGCTCATTGAACACCCTGCCTTAAAAAACGCGCCAACACGGCGAGCTGATTGAAAACTTGCGAGTTGTGGGTGATGGCACCAGGCTCATTTCACAAGCGTCCCAAGACATAAAACCACTGTTTTTTGTTGTCGCGGGGCAGGAATGGGACATAGGCAGCTTCCATGCAATTTCAAAGGTTTACCCTATTTTTCCGAACTGTGGAAGAAGAATGCAGCACGATAGGCCTGACATCTTTCATGCATATTAGCACCGCGTGACTTAGGTGTTTTCCAGTGCGAGACGCTCCCGTTTCGTCGCGTTCATCGCATCAGCTTTCCTCAACACTCCCTAGCTTTCCTCAGCACTCCCTAGCTTTCCTCAACACTCCCTAGCTTTCCTCAACACTCCCTAGCTTTCCTCAGCACTTCCTAGCTTTCCTCAACATTCCCTAGCTTTCCTCAACACTCCCTAGCTTTCCTCAACATTCCCTAGCTTTCCTCAACACTCCCTAGCTGTCCTCAACACCCCCTAGCTTTCCTCAACACTCCCTAGCTTTCCTCAGCACTCCCCACCCGTGGATGAGGCAGACGTCCTCCACGTCCTCCAGCCATCGCGCATTAAGTCTGGCAATCGATCGAAGCCGACGCCAAGACCAAGACTGAAGCCGCAATGTGATACCGACGCCAAGACGAGCGTGACGTTAGACTGACCGCCTCAAGCATAATATAGAGATGCTTGGGATTATGTGCATATGAACTGTACCAGCTGATTGCCACGAAAATGGTTGTCAGGAGCAAAGACCAATTACTATGTCGGGAATAAAGACGATGACAGCGATGTTGACGATACCAATTTTAGTTGACATCATGGTTAGCATGCCACCAGCCCGACATTTTTGTCCTTGTCATGCAGCCCATACATGTACAAACTTTAGAGTGGGTGCCAAACAGCATTTGTGTACACAGAATATTGGCTCAAGAAGGACCTTGCCGTTGAGAACGTTGTCCCAAGGAGGACCTTGCTGTTAAGTAAGACGATACGAAACAACCATCGGGATATATCGTGAGAATGCTTATAATAGAAGTCTTGAGTAATCTCATAACACATTCTTATGATTGCCTCATATCGTTGTCCAACTAATACCTCCTGGTACATTAAAGGACGGGCAAATCGGAAGCTCGGGGGCCTTTCTTGCTTACATTAATAATATTATCGAGTAACCGCTCTCACGGCGGTTTGTTGGCTCAGTCTGTGCGTACATTTATACACATGAAGGTACGTGAGGCATTATTGTTACAGTAACAACCGATCGCAAAGCATCCATTTAGTGTGCAGTGTGCTCTGCGCCAAACGATGACGGTGTAGACGGGACCGACCCCGAATGGTGCAGCACTGGGTGGCGCCGCCGTGCCGCCACTCTCTGAGCTCTGATGCCCGGTGTCAGGTATCTACATCACCTCTCCTGGTCTCTGAGCTTCTGACTAGGCCTCCATGTCACTGGTCTGGTCTCACCTCTACACTGCAGTATCTATGTCGCTGAGCTCCTGATTAGACCTTCGCACCACCTCGCTCAGGCTATGAGCTCCTGTCCTTCCTGGACAGAACACGGACCATCTCTCGCGGCGCCCGACTTCTCCTTAAGCCTTAATCACCTTAAGCTAAAGCGAAGGGCATCAATTTCGTTTGTGATAGAACTGAGAGATACATTGACGGAAAGGTGCCAATAATCGAGGTGCCTGCAAAAAAACTTCAGCTGATTTGTGACCAGGCCTCGGCATCCCTCTCCCCTCGTTGACCCGCTGACCTCTGACCGGACCTCCATGCCGTAATCCCCGAGTTTTGATCTCACTGACCGTTGACCACACCCCCGTGCGTCATTCCTATCTTAGGGCAAAGCTTTGCAAAGTAAGCATGGGGGGGGGGGGGCTGAGCAAGCAAAAGAGGCTAAACATGCACCGAAACAAGTTTCCACCGAATTTGCTCTAACTTGGTCGTAAAATTGAGGGTGGAGCTCCCTGCCCCAACTGATAAGGAAACTGAATACAAAAATCGCAGGTCTATCTACCTAAGCTTTTACTTTATCGGACAGATTTACAAACGTCTGGAAAATGCCCTTGACCACTCCCATTAAACCTCCCAACCACTTCTAGGAGATCTGAACCATCCTTCGTCAAAGCGCCTCTTTACCACCCCTGATAAACTCTGACTCTTGACCACGCCTCTGCACCAATTCTCTCTGAACGTTGGCGCCTCCAAACACACATCTACTCCACCATTCTCCGTGATCGAAGTCCCGAACTTTCAGGATGCGTCCGCACCGCCACTCTCTGAGATCACAAGATCGGAAGCGTAGCTCATCACCCTGAAGCACTACAAACACCGGCTGACAAAACATTGCAGCCTCCCAAAACGCAGACCACGCCCGCCAACGCCCGCGATCACTCACCCCAGGCCTACCGCCTGCCAGTGTATCCACCCGGGGAGCAGCGGCACCAACAAGTAATCCAACACGCACGCAGCGGTAATCTGGCGGCACCTGGTCGTTCACTAGTCGGACAGTTGCAGCACCACCTGACGATCAAATGCGCGTGCGACGGCAGCACCGCCGCCGATGATGCACTGCGCGCCTCACGGCTGCGCTTGGCTACCTGCGGAACGGGGGGGGGGGGGGGGGGGCACGCTCGGAGGCCAGGGCGCCGCCATACCCGGACCAGGCTATCTATAGCGGCGGCGCACAGCGGGCCACCGCAGACCGACCAACTGTGGATACTTCCACGGACGGCGCCGGGTCGGGCCGACCGAGCAGGACGGCGGCCGACGACGTGCCTGCGCGGGGAGGGCGAGCCTCATCTCAGTGGCCGGTGGTCCGGGTCTCGCCACAGCGGGCGGTGGTCTGGCCACAGCAGGCGGTAATCTGGACACAGCAGGCGGTGGCCTGGCCACAGCGGGCGGTGGTCTGGCCACAGCGGGCGGTGGTCTGGCCACAGCGGGCGGTGGTCTGGCCACAGCAGGCGGTAATCTGGACACAGCAGGTGGTGGCCTGGCCACAGCGGGCGGTAGTCTGGCCACAGCGGGCGGTGGTCTGGCCACAGCAGGCGGTGATCTGGCCACAGTAGGCGGCTATCTGGCCACAGCAGGCGGTGATCTGGCCACAGCAGGCGGCGGTCTGGCCACAGCTGGCGGTGGTAAGTCCCAGCGGACGCTGATACAGACGTTCCAGTGGACGGGAGCCGCAGTGGGCATTGGGCGGACTGCGACCGTGAAAATATGCCTTTTCAGTCCAGAAGTTCCATGATGCGTCCTAGTAACTTCTTGATATCTTTGCTTTTCAACATAAAAGCACACAGCGTGGCACCAGGAAGTTCCTGATGACCACAAATGAACGTGAATTTGGCCACAGCCTGGGTGAAAACCTGCCCGCGTTAAGGGACAATGACCGTGACATAGAAGCTAATGCGTGCCCAGACAGCTCAGTCATAAGAATAGCTAGAATTATTTTTTACTAGCCGGGAAGGGTCTGGCCAAGCAAATTACGACAGTCACATACACTGGCAAACTGGCTTCACGTAAAGCTAAATCGCTCCAAGCCCTGTGGCACTAAACAGCTACATCGGCATCCCGAGAACCTCACAACAGAAACTAAAGACGGAAATTCTATGCTCTAGCACATTACACACATTAGTCTACTCGAGGTTTCAGCAAAACTTGGGCCGCGCCGCGTTAAACCCTACAGCCGCATGCGCCCGTGGCGTGCAGAATGCCGTCGCGCTACGTTTCATGGGTGGTGTACATTACAACTGGCTCCATCCAGTCGCCGCCGATGCTGCGGACGAGAGCGGGCGGAGTAACGAACACCGACCCGCACACGAGGGGGTCGGAGCAACGAACACCGACCAGCACACTGGTGGAACTGCGGAACTGGGGTCGGAGTGACGAACACCGACCAGCACCCTGGTGGTACTGCGCTGATATTTAATGAGACCCCGGGTGGATTGATCAGCCTGACAGCACCGGCTGAGCTAAATGAAACATCACTCTTATCAGCCCGCGTGGCGATGATAGAACATGCAATCCGCAAATGAATGCACCTCATTCCATAACTGGAGCGTTCACAGACCGGCCAATGACAGCCGCAGAGGTGCAGACGCAGGTAAGGTTTGCAGAGTGCTGGGGTAACAGCGGGGCTAGTTTCCCTTATACAAGCCTCGTTACCTTGTGCTCTCTTACTTTTAAACAAAATATGCGGGGCACTTGCGGTTTTACAAACTTCTCCATACCCATCACCTCATGATCATACGGTTGACGAAAGCTCTTACGCCCAGATGAACATCTCCAGACCGATTTCCAAACGAAGCGGCCGTCTTTTGGAAAGAGACAGCGGCACTCTGGACCAGAGTGTGGCGTCGGCAGAAATCTGTGTATACATCGACGATAACCGTAGCTGACGTGACCGATGCGGACGGGAAACGCGCCAACGCTGGGCCGGATTCGACGCCTGTGGCGCCGCGGCGGGAGATAGCGGCGGATTCGGTCTGCTGGGGCCTGAGCGCGGCGCACAGCTGCGACATTCCCACGTCCTGATGAGCCGGCCCACCCAAGCCACCCTCTAGAACAGGTGCCAGGTGTCACCTTCAGGTGCAGCGCTTCCGGAGCTGATTATTGGACTGACTTATTATATTATTTGACCTTTCTGACTTATTTTTCCAGAACACTAACGAAATCCCTCGCCCTGATGGGGGGGGGGGGGGGGTTGACACAGCCTCCCCAAGGTTTCTTGAGGACACCCATCCGGCATGTGCAATCGCTCCAAAATTTATGGTGGTCTGAAAGGCATTCATTGCGCATGTTTTCACACCAAAAACGGGTTCCTGGCGTTGTTGATTTCGAGAGAGCGACGGTGTTTGAGGATGGGGGACACCCCACTGCGATGTGCGACCTCAGCGGACGGACGACGGGTGACCGACGATGTCACGGGACTCCCACGGCGGCCCGACATTGGTGCATTAACGGAGCCATATATTATAAATGTGTGCTCAAAACACAGAAAAATACACACCAGTGTATTTGAACACGCATGCAGTGGGTAAGAACATGCCTGTTTAACCTTCGCGTCGCTACAAAGCATGGTCTCATGTGATGCAAAGCTGAAATAGTACGGCTTACTGGAAAATTCGACCTTTGACCCGCCATCATGGGTTCAATTATGGACCTAACAACGTCAAAAGTAGTATCAATCGCTAGATTTCGTTCAGGCCGATCCACTGATGTTTTTGGCTAAGCTCTTCCTGGATTACTTTGGAAGCGCGAGACGGCCACATCACCCTCCCCCTCCTCATCACCTCGCGTTACAAAAAATGTTGAGTCGGCATTAACATACATCAAAGACTATGAAGCAAGAGGTAACGAGTTACTGAACATAAGCGAGCGTTGGGACCTGATTAACCTGAACGTGCGGTTCGCATGCTTGTGGGTTGATGTTGACTGCAATTACTTTCAGTTCGTCAAAGCGAGCAGTGGGACCAGGTGTATCACGCCTCTACGGGAAAATTCCACACGCGTCCTCTGTTTATTTACCCATTTGCAACTGCAGACGACGATGATTCATACAAGCGCATCCTGCTTGTGTTGCTGAGAACCTTTAAAGGAAGTTCGAGAACCAACGGTCCCGGATGCGCCTCATCATTCGTGTTCTCCGCGCGGCCGACTGTTTTAACTGCTCTGGCGTGACCTTGAGGCGCCGGAGGGGAGAGGTCACCACGTGTGACGTGTTCTGTCGTTTCCACGCCGGATGGCGCGGAGTAGTCGGTCAGTGAGTCGCCGTCTGACCGGCGCCGGCAGCGCATGCTGGCCTTGGGTTTGAAGAACACAGTGCCGGCGCCGCACGACTCGATCATTCGCGAGGCGCGGTGATGGGACTGGGGGCGGTGCACCACGTAAACAAACCAGCGGGCGGCACTAGTTAATTCCCATATAGTACGTGTGAGAGCGTGGCGCGGACGTAACGTGTCACGGCTCCGTCCCTTTGCTGACATGTCACGCCTGATGCAAGCAAAAAGGCACTATGCTCCTGGTTTTGCGAAACTGACTTTTTGTTCTGAAAATAGCCGACCTTCAATTCACCAGGATGCACTAGTTAAACGAAGGTGTAACGCAATAGCTGGGACAAAATATAGGAATATATCATGCATGAACGTAGTTCAGATGGACTGCCCCTCCTTTCCCGTGAGGACTGATACCCGGCACAGCCATGAATACGTCAGTGCCGCTTGCGGCTACGTCAATCCGATCTCCAAGTCTGCAAATACAATCTACATTTGAGCCCATCCGGCCCGAATGCACCAATAAAACAATGTGAAAACGCGGCGCGTGCATGCGCCGTGTCCGATCTGTTAATGTGCCTTTCCAATCCGGGATGCGCCAGCTGCCACGGTGAATGTTACAACCCGACCCATAACACGCAAATGAAATAATGAAACGTGCATCCAGGGCTCGCCTTGGAAACACGCATGACGGACGGCGGGGCGCGTCCACACGGCTCTGGAACACCAGCCCAGTGCCGGGCGCGGCCACACGGCTCTAGAACACCAGCCCCGTGCCGGGCGCGGCCACACGGCTCTAGAACACCAGCCCCGTGCCGGGCGCGGCCTCACGGCTCTAGAACACCAGCCCCGTGCCGGGCACGGCCTCACGGCTCTAGAGCACCAGCCCAGTGCCGGGCGCGGCCACACGGCTCTAGAACACCAGCCCCGTGCCGGGCGCGGCCTCACGGCTCTAGAACACCAGCCCCGTGCCGGGCGCGGCCACACGACTCTAGAACACCAGCCCCCTGCCGGGCGCGGCCACACGGCTCTAGAACACCAGCCCAGTGCCGGGCGCGGCCACACGGCTCTAGAACACCAGCCCCGTGCCGGGCGCGGCCTCACGGCTCTAGAACACCAGCCCCGTGCCGGGCGCGGCCTCACGGCTCTAGAACACCAGCCCAGTGCCGGGCGCGGCCTCACGGCTCTAGAACACCAGCCCCGTGCCGGGCGCGGCCACACGGCTCTAGAACACCAGCCCCGTGCCGGGCGCGGCCACACGGCTCTAGAACACCAGCCCAGTGCCGGGCGCGGCCACACGGCTCTAGAACACCAGCCCCGTGCGGGGCGCGGCCTCACGACTCTAGAACACCAGCCCCGTGCCGGGCGCGGCCCCACGGCTCTAGAACACCAGCCCCGTGCCGGGCGCGGCCTCACGGCTCTAGAACACCAGCCCCGTGCCGGGCGCGGCCACACGGTTCTAGAACACCAGCCCCGTGCCGGGCGCGGCCCCACGGCTCTAGAACACCAGCCCCGTGCCGGGCGCGGCCTCACGGCTCTAGAACACCAGCCCCGTGCCGGGCGCGGCCTCACGGCTCTGGAACACCAGCCCCGTTCCCCCTCACCTGAGCACCGAGCGGGGCTGTTCTGGACTGCGGACACCGCACCGCCGCGTAGCCCTGAGCACGCCCTGGGCACACTTCACCAGACGTGCGCGCTTTGGCGCAACGACGCTGACGACACCCGCGCACCGTACCCGGACGCCCACGACGAGCCCGTGATTCACTCTGCAGCAGCGGTGTCCAGCAGTGCGCGCCTCCAGGCCGTTC